AAGTCTCTCCCATATTCGATATTAACTGTCAAAAATAATCAACGTACTGAGATAATATCGTTCAAAACTGGAATGTTAATGAATATTATGCACGGTATTGAAAATAATACTGCGCTTTCCGCGCTCTCGTTTTGGTTTTTCCAGTAATTTATTCAACATCCCGCGCTCTCTCGTGAAATATTACAGGAAAATTTATTAGCAAATAGATGCATATATGTATCTATTCAAAGTACTACAGTTATACGCAAAACTGGGAAAATCCGATAGAATATATATTATATTCAAAAACAATAATATCGATACGCAGCAATACAAAATTGTGTTTGCTCTTTATAACATACTATTAATATTTTTTTGTGTATGTATGTTATATTCTATAATATAAAATCTATCACATAATAAATTTTTTATATATTATTTTATTTATAAGATTGGCATTTACCTCAAAAAATTAGTTTCCATATCAGATGAATAATAGATTTTTTTTCTTATAAAGCTAAAATACCACGAACTAGAATGGTGATTTATAGTTCTCTAAAAACTCTTCGATTTAAAACATATTATTACAATTCTTTGAATATTTTCGATTTTAATTATTTTGCTTCCTGATTATTTCGGGAAAGCATAAAGCTTATTCAATGTATATCTAGTCTCTGAAGACTCGTCATTCTCTCAATGAGCATCGGAATAAAAACGAATGGTATATTTAAGTTTTTCTCTGACTTTTCTCAAGTCAAAAGCGCATTTCATTTCAATAAAAGTTGGCGCTTATTTGTCTCCGAGGAGAGGCTTCACTGTGAGATCCCGTTGCCAGTAATTTGAAAAGTACGCAAATATAGATATATCATTACAAAACACACACGATATTATAAATGATAAAAAAAATGAAGAAAGAAATCAAATCAAATATAAAAAAATTTAAAAATAAATTTTAACCTCATTTATATCTTATTTAATTGCATTTGTACTTTCTACAATAACATTTCTCTCTTATGGAATATTCCGAGCTATAATTATTATTTGCAAAATTGCCGATGGCGGCGAGAAATATTATTTAATTCACTCAATAATATTATGTTAAATATTGCATGTGCTTGACGCTTGATCATTATTGTTTCGAAAATTATATTATTTATTACAATATTTAAACTTGATCGAATATACGAAAAAGTCGACATGTAATTTTAATGAACTTTGCAGATATGCACGCAAATTAATAAGAATAACATATTATACCCTATAATTTTTAATTTATTTTTTAATAAATTAAAGCCAATTCAAAATTATAAAAGTGACATTTGAAACATTTGAAAAATAAATATATGTTATACTACGTTCGATTAAATAAAAAGTGTCTTTACGTCAAACTCTATTAATCTGTGTACTTTAATAACTTTTTACCGATTTGTGGAAATCTTAACATAAATACGATATTTGCAACCACTCCTGCTTCATTTATATGATTAATGCAAATTTTAGCCGTGATTAGCAAACGAGAGAAAAAATTCTACTCATACATACAAGAAGAGACAATGTCTTAGAGTCATTTGTGTTCATCGTCCCTAACGATAATAATGCACTATCATCAAAATACCCTAGTCTATCCCTGTATTTCTCACTGCACTCGGGAGAACAATGCAACTCTGTGTAGAGCATGCACAATTGCTGCAATGCGGTTTGAACTCAGATATGGTCACGTTAATGTCCATCGCATAGCTACGTGCTAAGTACAATACGAGCTTCTGTCAAATATTATTAAAGCAATATCAGCGACTGTCTAATTAAACGCTTAATATATACAAACAGAGAGAGAGAGAGAGAGAGAGAGAGAGAGTAGAAAAGTTATTAAACAACGACTATATGTAATTTATAATTGAAATTTATCTTCAAAATACAAAATTTTGTCAATAATATACTATTTGTATTATATTATATACTATTTATAGTATATTATATACTATAAATAGTATATTAATTATAAATAGTATATATAATAATAATAATATATTATAAATAGTATATAATATACTATAAAAAATAGTATATTGTATTATAAATAATATATTACTATAAATAGTATATTATTATAAATAGTATACTATTTATAGTATATTATAGAATATTTGTAAATAATTTTGTAAATAATAAAATAATATATAAAAAATTGACCAAACAATTGTTTTCAAAGTTTCACATGCTAAAAAATGTTTATTATGTGATAGGTTTTATATTATAAAATATAACATACATACACAAAAAATATTAATAGTGTATTATAAAGAGCAATAGTGTACATTATAAAGAGCATTTTGTAAATAATATTGTAAATTTTAATAGAAATAAGATTGAAGTGGAAAAGTTCAATCAAAGTATAAAAATTTATATAAACAACTTTTCTAGTATAATAAGAGAACTGGCATTCAAAATAATCCCTTTGCGTATACCTGGAGCAGAATAAGTTTGCGAAATATGTTTAAATATTTGCATAAAAAAATTTCTGTTAATAATTATCTTGTCAAATAATTTCTGTCATAATAACACTTTAAAAAAACATAACTGACTTTATGTAATTATTACTGACTTAATTCTTTCGGATGAGTGACGGAGATTGATTCGCCGACCATAAGAGTTTTATCTTAGAAAATTCTGAACGTGACGAAGATAAATTTGCATGTCTATAAATGAATCATAATTGAATGCAACGTTCTTATATTATCAAATAATATTCTAACTGCATAATAATTTAGATATTCTAGGTGACAAGTTTTTTATGAATTAATTATTGGATTTAGATTTTACAAATTATTTTGTGACTGATTTTTAAGTTTTAGACTCTTTATTTTTATTTTTTAAATATTAATTTATAAAAATAAATAACATATTTCGCCAGGTATACGCAAATATATTTATTGCAATCTACCATATTCTTATATAAGCGATGGATGGTACTTTCAATATACATAGATACACAAGTACAGAGTATATTAGAAATATTTCCAACTCAAGTTAATTAGATGTCTGGTCTTCTTTATAATAAAAAAAAAAAAGAAGAAATCTCTTTTTATGAAAGAAGAAATAATCACTCGTATAAAAACTCAAACGCTGTAGCAGTCACGTGCTGCAAGATAAAGCCGGGAAATTGAAGTTACCTAGCGAAGAGCGCTTCGAGGGATTATAACAGTTAGATTACTTCCAGATAGATTAGTCGCAATGAAGTTGATATAGAAAAATGTATCATCTTTTTTTTTTTTTTTTAAAGCGTTTCATTGGATCAATTCGAACGCGAGAAAGGCAAAGCTGGAAGAGCTTGAAAGTATGAAGTTGATTACCGCAATCACGAAAATGACCGCGATGTAAAAAAAAGAAAGAAAGAAATAAAATAATGAACCGACGTAAACGCGTTTACCTTAAGCGATTTTCAAGCGGCAAAGTACCGCTTTGCTTAAATCGTCTTTGAACGAACCGAGATTTCGCGTAGCAAAATTTCTTAATGAACGATAATATAATGAAAAGCGATACAAAGTGACAAAGCCGTTAATTACGGTACCGTTTTATTCTTAGATATCTCGTATAAAAGTATTAGAGAGTTTTCAGCAGCAGAGCGGAATATTTACCGTACTTTACAAATGCATCAGAGCGAGTACATTTAATCGTTATATTCGAAACACAGAACAAAGCAGGAGTTATAAATATTTTTTGTACTTTATATTTTATCTGATTGATGTTTCTCTTTAATCTTGTTCTAAAGTCGAGAGAGAAAATGCGATATTTATACAAAGTAAATTTCATTTTACAAATTAATTAACAAAATAATTTCATTAATTATTTTATTATTCCTCAAAAGAGGTAGAAAGAGAGATCAATTTAATTATCAATTATCTCAATCAATTTTCATCGAATACATAAATAATAATTTGATATATTTATTTTCTAAACAATTTGTAAAAGTGTAATGTAAAGTAATTGTATATGAATTGCGCGATAAAAAGAAATGTAATTCTTAATATCGATTTTGAACGCAAATTCAACGGTTTAATTTACGAGAAGTAGTTTTCTCCCAAGTACTTTCTGACACCGTGAGCGCGGTTTTGGCCGCGGTAATTATTCGAATTTAATTAAAACTCGCGTTCGAAGTGAGCTGCGTCCGTGGTGAAGTCATTAATTAAATTTAGAGGAGAATCGCGCGGGTACCTTACGGGTTGTATATGTATATGTAGAATATGTATGACAGATAGGGAACGAGGATCGTTATTGCAAGTTCGCGAACTCGGTTATAACTTTCAATGAATTCAGTTTCTTTTAGCGGAGTTTTCTCTTTTTCGGATTCGCTCGCCGACACTTATTCTGCTTCTGGCGTGGACGCGTTTTCTTTTCCTCTCCCTCGGCAAAACTTCAATATATATAATGTAATTGTAAAATAAAATTCCGTACTTACTCTATCACCGGGCAAAATGAACATGCAATTAGCGAACATGCTGAAATTTGCTATTCGCCTATTAAGAGTCGCGAGATAAAATGCCTCTTTGTAAGAAAATTACATTCGCGAACAGAATTCGCTTTGATCCATTTTGATTCCCTTCGGTGCAATTTTCTTTTTTCACCGTAATGGATTTTAATTGAATGAAATTAATAAATTATACGCGCGGTTAATTAAATGCAAAATTTGTATTTACTTTTGATCAAAAAGCGCAACATTTCGAAGCTTTATTGGTGTTTCTCTTGTTACCGCAAATTGTATTTTTATTATTTTCCACTTATATATACATATATATTTTTATTTATTTAATCATATTTTTATATCAATAATTTTTATAATGAAATGTATATATTATATATCGTTACTGTATACTTAAAAATAATATTTTAGCGTACGCAGTTCAATTATTTAAATAGCATAGTATATATTAATAATTCATAGCTACTGTAACATTATAGAGTCCCGAATATGAGATGAAAGACTTTAGTGCGTTTAAAGAAGGCATTTATTCAAATTGTTGCAGGAGCGATCTTTACCGAGGATCAAAAGGATAGCCCATCGGAGTTAGCCTTCAAATACGCCATTTACAAGATCAACAAGGATAAGACTCTCCTGGCAAACACGACATTGGTTTACGATATACAATATGTGCCTAAAGACGACTCGTTCCGCACGTCCAAGAAAGGTAAGAAAATAAATTGCATAAGAATAAAAATAGAGGAAATGAGAAATATACACTGAAAAAAATTATTAAATTGATAAATATTTATTTGAAAACTGCCTAATAAATTAAATAAATATTTGTCACATCAAATCAATATTATTAATTTCAAAAAAAATTATTATGCGTAATTTTGTACTTGTCTCTCAAATATATTGAATATAATAAATGTTACGTACATTTTTAAGAAATTTTTGTATCTGAATTTTTATAAAATATAACATTATAAAATACGATAAATAAGAAAATTGATTTATATATCTATTATATAATAAATGGTTTATTAGACAGTATTGAATAAATATTTGTTTAAATTCTATAAATTTTTTTCAATGTAAAAATGATGATAAGAGAGAATATTATCTTGAATAGCTTATTAAATTTGCACGGACACAAGTCACCTATTATATCTCCTACGTGAGTTTATGTCAATAGAACTCGAGTGCAATCCTCTACACGAGAACGTATCGATAGCCATTAACGTATCGATGATAAGGCATGACTTCATCGTCTAATAGGAACTGATAGAATAGGCGACGAGACCGACGCTATCTGTAATATGCTTCCTCGCAATATATCGCTTAACTGCTTAGCTGCTATATTACAACGTTACAATGTAAATTGCAAGTTAATGAAAAATATTTAAAATTGCGTCGAAATCGTTAAAAAAGAATGACAATTATGTACAGGAGAAAATTAATTTGTTAGAGAGCTTATTTGTTGTTTGTAAACTCGCGTTTTACAAGATACGGTGACATGATATATTATAGAAGCCAGTGACAGTAATTGATAACGCAACTTAATAGAGCTGATAATTGCAGTGTCATTTATTTTCCAAGCATGTAACAGCTGCGTTATATTGCGGAGTCTCTTTTTATCGCTTTATTTTTGTGAATAACGTAATTAAAGATAAAGCGCGATGAACCTTTTCAATAAGAATACGTAATAAAGGAAGAGAAACTGTCGGTAATTTTTCAATATGCAAGATCGACATTGATTAACTTTTGTGCAGAAACATAATTGTTGCGTAATTCCATTACTTTGTAATTAAACATATACATGTGTAATACTCATATCCAATATTGTCTGGTGTTTATGTGACAGATCGTATCTATCAACTTTAAAATTTTGCATCCAACTTTAATATTAGACGTATTTTTCAATTTCGCACATTTTTCAGTGCACCGTCTCATGTTTAAATTGAAAGTATAATTGGCCTCGAGATATTAGAATAATTTTTTAAAATTTACACATAGTTATGATGCATAATATTTATCCATAAAATAGAAATATATATTTAAATTAAAAACACATATTAAAAATAATGAATAATATATCGAAAAATAATTATGCATAATTTTGTATTTGTCTTTCAAATATATTTAACATAAATAAATTATATATATACATTACTTATTTAATTCGAGAACCGATAAAATATTTTAATATAAATGTTACATAAATTTTAAGAAATTTTTTATCTGAATTTTTTAGAATATAAAATAAAAATACAATAAATAAGAAAATAAATTTTTATATATAATAAATAATACAAACAGATATAAACTTTAAACATAATATTAAAAAGAGTATTTTATATATATCTATATAAAATATTAATTAATATATATTATAAATTCATAAATTATATATTATATTATAATTTTATATTAAAATAATATATTATAATATATATTATAATTATTTTATTAAAAATGTATTTGCAAATAATAAAATCTAAAATATGTTGCGTACATTATATTACATAATTACGCAAAATAAAAGATTATTGTGGAGATGTCGAGCAAGTAACAAATAAAGTAAATAAAACATTATACGTTATTTGTTATTTTGTTTTTAATTATTTTTTTTCTTTTTTTATATATTTATGCTTAATTGCTCTTGTAGCACAAACATGAGAGCACGGTTAATCATTATGTATCGCGCTAATTGAAAAACTATAACAGCCGGGTGGCACTGTTTATTCTCACACACACGCTCTCAACGTTGTTTGCACACGATATAAAACTTTTTACGTGCTAAATTTATACTAAAAGTTTTGGCTCGTATGAATTCAGCAAATTAATAAAAGAAAGGCCAATTAAAACGAGCTACCTTAATAAGTCAGGATGTCAAACAAAAATTATTAAGAATAGAATTAAATTTTACAATTAATGCATAATAAATCAAATAAACAATAACATTTGAAAACGAAAGATTAAAAAAGATTAAAACATCTATGCCTAAAATTATATATGTTAACTCGCATATTGACAATTAGTCTATGTTGTCTAAAATGTTTCGCAATGTGTTACAAATATAATTAATTATTAGGACCATGTTCCAAGAAAAGAAAAAATTGTCGTTAGTAAGCAAAAAGTGAGGCAGCCCGATTTCTTTAGAAGTCAATCTTTTAAAATGTTATGTTTCTTAATATGTGTCAAATTTTTCTTCAAATTTATTGTTACATTTAAACCGTTTTTAGTCTAAAACTGATTGAAAATTAATTGCAATAACAACTTGTTTGACGTGTTTTTATTTGTAATAATAAATTTTCTTTGACATCCTGAATTAAAGTAGCTCATTTTAGTTGATTTTTTTTTATCAATTTGTTTTTTACGTGCGTTGCGATAGAGAATAACGCGGAAACTGCGATTGCAACTCAGCTTCCGAAAGTCACGCGATCAAATTCACACACCACTCGTCGTCAACAATGACACCGCAATGACACCGTAAATTGACCCTACCCTTATGCTGAATAAATTGACACCAATGCTTGTGCTAAAATTGAATTACCGGCACAGAGATACGATATTACATTTATATTGTCAATAAACGCTGCAGGCTTTAGTTCTCTAGAGCGAATATTAATTAATATGACATCATTAATGTGAATATATATTCATACACAGTAGAAAAATTTGTGTTTTCTTGATGAAAACAGTCCCCGTTAAAATTTTTGTGTTAAATATTTAACACATTTATGTGTTAATTTAACATGTTACTGTTCTGTTAATTGAACTTAAATGTAAAATTATTAAAACAACTGAAAAAGATATAAAAATAACACAATATGTATCTATTTTTAATTTTATACAATAAATATGTTCTGCTTTATTAGTGACAAGATTTATCTGTTAAAATTTACAGAAAGAAATGTTGATTTTCTATTTTATAATATAAGTGGGGATGATAAAATCTAAAATTAACATATTTTAAATTATTAAAAATTTTGCATTTATTTTGTGTTAAAATATTAACACAATATTTGTGTCTTCATTTAACAAATCCATATTATGTTAAATTAACACAAAAATTTCTGTGGATCGTTTGGGACATGTGATATCTGTTAAATTTAACGTAGAAGTTTTTAACTGTGTGCGAATTAAAATTATAATTCTATAATAAAAATTGATATTTGAAAATATATCGATTTTTCTTGACAATTAGCTTATAAATAAACGACATGTATAAAACAGTGACTATTTATTAAAGTATAAATTTGTACTAAAACATTTATTTGAAATAAGAAGTTCAAGAGAGAATAAAATAGGGAATAAAATTTATAAATTGCGATTTTATGAATAATATTACTGAAAATATGTTTGGAATCGTGAATATCTCTAGTGTTTAAATATTTTGCATATTTAAGTATAACATATTCATGTGTCCCATTTTTAGATTAAAAATACGGATCGATATATGTATATGCAAACTGTTGAATCGAGTGATACAAATAATGGAAAGACGTTTTGCATCGACTGTTTAATAATAAATACATTTCGCTTCTATATATGATTTATTCTATCGAAATCTGTCGCGCGAGTAGTCTAGTAAGAGGATGATATATTTTCGAATATTGTAATGCACAAGGTAACAATTTCGTTCTGGAGCATATTATTGTATTATACATTATTGTATGCATTATACATACAATCTATTAATAACCATTCATATCAGTTAACAACAAATGTAATGTCGTATCTCCGAGATAATAATCCTCCAAATTAATTATTAATTAATCGCTGATGTATCATGGTATTTTGTTCTTTCATTTAATTCGAAGATGAGCAAAATACAATATATTTAAATCAGCGAAAAATTCAAAGCGCGACAATTAAAATTTGATTACCAAATAATGTTAAATAAAATAATTAGCACCCGTAAACGACATAATTAATTTATATCATAAAGATAATTCATGGTTTCTATCGCTTTAATTTTTACGTCAAAGACGAAATACCTTATTCAATGAACAATTATATAGTCACGATATTTTCCCAGAAAGCAAAAAATCATTGCTACAACGTTATTATTGTTGTCAAGTATGTAGTTTTTAACTTTCACATCGATTTAGAAGTTTCGGTAATGTTGAAATTAACGTTTTTCAAATATTTCATTAATATTTTGAGACCAATATCAAATAATATTTTTAAAACATTTATAAAAAAACATCAGTTAAAATATTAAAAAAAAAAAATATTTATTAATAATATTTTAAACATATTTATAAAATAGTATATCACAACGTTTAGAAAATGTATAAAAATGTTGATTAAATATTTCTTACTTACTGGGTTTGTTTCACATTCGATATTATCATTTATGACTAGAAATTAATTCATCGCTAGGGGTTGATAATCGCTAATTGCAAATGCGATCGCGTTTAGGGTCAGTTCGCAGAATATGAGACGCAAATTTATACCTCGCATATGAGGACGGCGGATGGATGCGAAAATGTAAATCAGCCGGTATTTAGTTCATGCAATCATAATAATCCGCGCGATGCAAAGAACATAAATCAACTTCGCGTGGCGGTCAGAAATAGTGACGTAACATCGTATATGCATATATATATATATATATATATATATATATATCCAGAACTAACTAATTAATTAATTTAATTTTCATATTAATGCGATCAAAAGACTGGCGCGGTTGGGGCGCGTGACGTAAATCTC